GCGACATATGAAGCAAGATGCTATGACCAAAAAATGGATTGACAGATGACCGTTGATATATGATTGGCCGAATTTAGGTAAAATTTATGAATTTTAAGATAGGATTATTTTTTTTCAAATAGAAATTTTCTAGTTTTTGAGACAATATGTCTGATAAAGAGAACATTTATATACATGTTTAAGCCAGAATGATTTCACATTTAAATATGATTTCCTTACGACTTAAACTGGAACTTATGGCCCACGTCGATATGTCTATGTGTTCCAGCGTACTTCAGCGTGCTCATAACTTATACTAAACGTACCCATACTAGGGCCGTATAATTTCCACGATCACTGAATCGCGGACGGAATCGCGGAATTGGCAAATTAACGCGGAATCTAGTGTAAACGCGGAATTTCTACATTTGAAATGAAATTCGGTTTTTGTGTGGGAGAAGAATGTACGTCGGGGGGAAATGCACACCTGGGGACGCAAATCTGGGCGACACAACCCCTCCCGCTCCGTCATTTCCACGCACCCTCCCCCATCAAAACATTGAAAAAATGGCGAAGCGGCTCTCCACAGCTCCGCTTTCGGCGAAAAAGTTGATAAACACGAAGCTACGCCCTGAGTACAGAGCCGAGCAGTTCCCTCCTGACTTTTACGTGTCAGGTGAACTATTGTTTTGCAAGTTTTGTCAACATTCCATTGATCGGAAGCACAAAAATACATACATAAAACGGAAAAAAATGAATTTTCAAAAATTAAAATGGAAAAAAATGGAATTTGAGATAAAATAAAACGGATTTTATAGGGCCCTACCATACCTTTTCCAGCGTATGCCAGCGTCTTTGCAAGATTTTTCGTACGTCTAAAATCATCGGTGACAGCGGCTTTACATGCCTCTTGTCTGATTGGATGATGGAGACGCTCGCAGCGCGGCGGACGCCAGGCTTTAGATGTCCTGCTTAGGGTAGGAATACTCCTGTTATTGGTGCCACTAGCGACTCATTTTCTAACAAATCATTTTTTGAATAATGTTTTGATTAGTCGACTAATCTTAACTAATTTCTAATCCCCACTGCTGGGGGTTTGCAGAGTAGCTGCTGGATGGTGACACCAAGTAGGAAACAGTTAGATTCCTACTGTGTCTGTTTGCTCATAGGATAAACCGGCTGTCTCAGTCTATAAAATACTATTACTGTGCTTTCATAGCTTTATTCAGCTTATGTAGAAGGAACAGAGAGCAGCTCTGATCATTATTACTGCAATAAAACATTTTTTATGAACTACGGACAAACATATTATAAATACCCAAATTAACTAGAAATGTTAAAACCTGCTGATAAAAATATTAGATTATATATTCTGGTAGTCACACACTTGTCTCGGAGGTGGGACCCAAACTGGTTGAAAGAAGAACGTGCTCTGAAGAGTTTTCAGCTGACAAAACTTTAATTGTTTTTCTGGTGAACAATGGCAGACATGTTTCTTATATAGAGAAGGAGCTAGATTGGAAGAAACCATTTTTCAAAAGGATGTTCAGCTTCACAATAACAACAACGAAAGGAAATTTGGTTTAAACTAACAGCTAATTAAGAAATATTTTTACCAATAAATACAGAAAACAAATATTTCAATTCAACCCAAACAAATACTCAAACTCAATATAGAAAACCCCATCCATCAGATCAACCTCCCCCTTTCAATTATCCAATGGTACAGTCCTATACACACCTGCGTGAGTATTTCACAATATTTTACCTCTTTAACCCATGAATGTCCCTTTAATGAAGAGTTAAACAAAAAAAGTATTGTAAAGTGAAATCAGTTTACCTTTTTACAAAAATGAAAATAAGATGTGGCCAACCAAAGAACCACAACCCAAACAAAACCACTTCACCCAAAACAACAAAAATAAACCAATGTAGAAAACCAGATGCTGTGTTTAGCTGCTACTATGGCCAATATACAGGTAACAATGGCTCATTGTTACTCTGGTTCTTGTAGTTTTTACCTCAAACCTTATAAACCTTCTATTCCCTTCCAGCCGCTATGAACAGCAGCAGGAAATCCCCCATAGTCTGCCTGCAGCAGAGAGCTTTCAGCGGGGATTCCCAGCGCTGCCTCCCGGCGGGATGCTGGAGGTCTGCAGCTCCCAACAAGGACTGCAGATTATAGTGGGATTATAATCCTGATGAACAGAGGATGTTTGGAGGTCGACTTTGAAACGTGTTACCCCCAGACTCCACATCCCGCTCGCAGAGAACTTGTCTGTCATGTTAATCAATGGCTCAAAAGAACGGCGAGAAGATCAGGTTTGACTAATTAAAATATGTTAACGACAGATAAGGTTACTACAGTTTAGAGAATAATTCTTCTATAATCCCCTAAGCTAAGACTGTTTAATTCAATGATTGGATGCAAACTATTGGTTCTTCAACAGACCAGGAAGCAGATTTCTCGTCTCCATCAAAATATTTATTTTATACGGAGAGGCTTAGAAGTTTAATCAAATCCAGTCAAAACAAACTTCCTATCTGAGGAATGGATGAAGAGATGCTGAGTTTGGAGATGGAGAGCAGAGTTCATCCAAACCGTGGATGATCCCAGTGATCCGGGTAACTAAACTCTACAACTAAAAGAAAATATTTGGACAGAAACTCTGCTGGATGCTGATGGGGATTTTTAATGCGTCATATTAAATTAAGTGTTAATTTCCGCATGTTTTGCTCCTGGAGCTCTGAGGAGGTCAGAGTGGAGCAGGACTGGAGGAGCAGTGGAGGCTGTAGCCTTTGCTTTGCGGGGCGGAGCGGTGACGGAGGATGTGGGATTTCTGTGTTCAAATTTTTTTTCCAACTCATAAAGTAAATAAAGCCAAGCTGCTCTCTAGCTGGAAGCTACAGAACAGAGCGGATGATCAACCAGAGCGCCGGGCGTCCAGAGCAGCTGGACCACAGTTTGAGTCCAATTTCCTGCGTCTGTGCGTGTTTGACGCCCACATCTCCTCTGGTGTGAACGCAGCATTGGGGTGCACCAACCAGACGCCTCCGCCCTCCATTCAGACTCTCCCGCCGCTGCCATTTTCACATCACGCTCAAAAGCAGAACCAACAGTAACTGAAGCTCATAACAGGAGAGGAAAAGGGAGGCAGTTTGCCAGCGGGGTGCACACAGCAAACCTAGTGGTGTGGAGGAGAAATGTTTGCTCAGAGCATTAATAAATAAAAGGCAAAATAAAATAGTGACAGACGAAGAGATATCCATCATTTTCATGGTTAATTGGTGGACTTAAACCTGAACATGATGGATTCTGGGGCTCGC